TTGCCAGAATAAAACTAGCATACTGGAAAGATAAAACTGTCTTTGCACTATTCATGTATCAGAAAAAAGATGAGCTTTATTTTTATAGTTTGAAATAGTAAGTTCTCAAACCTTCCCTTCGAGAATTTCAGAAAAAGGTGAAATTCCTTAACGAGCGGTATTTCACATTTTTTTATTTGATGAAGCTAAGATGGATGAGAAATGATCTGATGGTCTAATAGTTTATTAAAAGCTGAACAACTTTTGAATGCAACCTTGATTTGAATACTTCGTTCTTTCGTATAAAAATGCTTAACTCATAGCCATCCGCAAAAAAAGATTTCCATTTTCAGAAATTCGGTAACGGTCATTATTTTTTGAATAACTCTGTTGCGGTTGAAGAGAAATGGGTAACATTTTTACTGGTTACAGATCCAAGGAAGCTCTACTTGTGACAAAAAATTTCAGATAATTTACTTATTTTACTAAGAAGTTTCGTGGATTGCAGTCTGAAAAAATGAAATTCCGTCACGCGTGGTCACGCCGATTAGTTATCACTGTTAGGGCAAATAATTATTTTAATTATTTAGTTTATTTGTCACTTGAATGTTATTCTTTTTGTCAAAGATTAACTATTCTTTTTTTAGAAATTAATAATCATTTGTTTGTTATCAAATGTCATCATTAAAAAATTGTTTTGTCAATTTAAATATATTTCAATCATCTGATGACTTAACAACAGATGAAGAAAAAGAACATGAACGTCGATCAAATATTATTTCAACTCGAATCTTTTTTATTGTTTTTATCTTCGTTCTAATTGAACTCGCTATTATTATGAAAACAAGGAATCAAAATACACTAATAACAGTTGAAAATCCAAGTGAAGATCAATTCAAACATTTACCATCTGATGCTCATTGTCCATGTTCTCATATATCATTGTCTTATGGAGAGTTTATTTCAATTCAAACTCGATTTCATCAGATATGTTCAAGTGATTTTATATCTGATCGATGGATTAAAACAATTAATTTTGGTTTAAACACAACGTATTTTTCCGCTTATGACTTTCGAACAGAAGGAAGTGCAATATTTCAATCACTCGAAAGTTTTTGTCGACTTTCAAAAGGTTATTCTATTCAAAGTATTGATTCATTTAATAAAGATTTATTTATAAGTCAAGAAGTTTTAAAAGAATCTGTATTTCAATCACAAATAAATGCCATTATTCAACAATTTGAATTATCATCACCTATTGAATTCTCAACACAAGTAGCATTAATAAGAAAAATGATAGCCGGAAATCGTTTTCTATCTGCTCTACAGACTAATTATATGCAATGGTATATGCCTTGGCAGAACAATGTAACTCTAATTGTGATACATAATCGAGTTTTCCTGGATGCACAGGCTTCCTCATCATGTTCTTGTCGGGTCCATATTGATTGTAACATAGAATTAATGATATTTAATCAATTCGGACAATCCGGTATTGAGTACTTTCCGCCTGATGATACAATATTAATGAAAATTCCTGGAATGTCGCATAGCTGTTTACCAGTAAATACAATTCTTCTCTCA